GAGATGAGAAGGCAGAAAGGGACAGGAGCTGGTTGAATGGACACGGGAAAGCCGGGGTGGAAAGGAGGAGTGTGCTGTCACAGGATGGGGAGTGCAACTAGGCTCACACAGCACTGTGTGTATAAAGTTTTGTATGAGAAACTAACTTGAACTGTAAACTTTCATTTAAAGCACAATTAAAAAAAAAAAAAGAAATCTGTCTTGCTGCAAAGGGGTTACTGCAGCTTCTCCTTCCCCCAGCTCTCAAGCATCGTCCCATAAAGGCCAGGTGGATCTGGACGCTCACACCAAACTGTTCATTTCAAGACTGACCAAAGAATGTAGAGAAAGAAGGCGCTGGGGAGAGCCCATCTGGATAATAGTGTATCCCCATTTGGATATGCTAGTAAGCAGTAATAAGAGAAAACTTCTTGTAGTCACAGCCATGTGACTTGCCTTCACCGCCGCCATTTTCCCAATCCCTGCAGAGACCCCCAGCATGTACTAGGGAGCCTTCCTGCCAATGTAGAGGCAAGGATAAATTGATGCATCTGGTCTATGGCTTAAAAAGCACCTGCCAACTCCCTGGAGGCCCCCGACACGCTTCCCAGACACACACATTCATGCGCAAACGGCCATCGCGAACCACACACTGAACTCTTGCTTTGTTGCTTCTTAACTAACCCACTCTCACGCATACAGCCTGTGTGGTAGGCAGCCCACATCCCTGCTGGCCTGTCTCCCCCGAAGGAGGACCAATCATGACAACTGAGCCAAGAGCTTGGGCAAGCACTACAGATGGGGTGGGGGATCTGACCAATGCCACCAGGAGAGCGGACCATCTTTCTACCATACTGGAACAGGGCAGAGAGTTGTGGGGCCCCTTCCACCAAGCTGCAGATTATATTCTTTGCCCACCTCTCCTGCTTGTGGTTGGCATTTGGCCGGTCTGGAAAAGCAGAGAGTGATGTTGAAGACCTCTATTTGTCCTGAGGGATTTGGTCATTGAGGAGATTGGCCATCAGTACAAAGGTAGCTGGGCCAGAAAGCAGAACTCTCACTTTATTCCCACACTTGAGCTGCTCCTGGATCCCTAGAGACAGATCTGCATCTCCTAGAACTGCTGCCATCATGGTCTCCAGCAGACTGGATTGCCTTTAATGGATGGCGTTTTCCAACATCTATTTTTTCCACTTGTTCTGTTTCAAGTGGTTCAATTTAATCTTTGTTTCAGTTGAGAGGCCCTTGGCAGATAGGATTTCTAACCAGTGGGCACCATCTCTTTCTTCTCTTGGGGTCACCACAGAGAAGAGGTTTGGACCATGGTTGTGCAGAGAAGCAAGCATCAGATAGGAAGCGCTCAACAACAGTTATGTGGTCCTTGTATGAAATGGTAGATGGCAGATTAGGTCTCAAAAAAGGATCCTTACTCAACCAGCTTCCAAGGCTAGGTTGGAGCTGAGGGTCTTCCCATCTGAGGGTCCCATGGACTGGCTTAGCATCAGTCTTGCAAGACAGGTCCTTTTCCTAGGGGGACAGTACATCTCAACCCACTGCACAGTAGGTACAAAGCAAACTAAGCTTTGCATGGGCAGTTGATCATGAGGACGGCTATAAGCAAGCAAGTTGTCAGGGGTTGTTCAGGCACATTAGGAGGTGCAGCACTGGTGCATTAATTCAAAGCGGGAGACTAACGGAAAGCAGAGGCGAGCATACCTGGGATGGCAGTGGGCTGGGCCGAGGTCCTGAACACAAAATGAGCCGCCTTTGACTTTCCCTGCTGGTTCTCAGCCACCACGTAGACCTCATACTCTGCGTTCCAGTCCAGGGACTTGAGCATGACGTGGTCACTGCCGGAGGGAAGCCTGATCTCTGGTTTCCACTCAGAGGAGAGCTTCTGGGAGAAACCGGCAAGGAGGACAGAAGACACCAGAGAGCTTTAGGTACAAACACTGGAAGACCAGTTAGTAGGCAGAACTTAAGGGAGTCAACAACTGTTGGGGCAAAATAACAACAATTAAAAGCAATGATAGGATACGGTCTTTCTTCTTTACCAGCCTGATAAATCCTAAGGATTACACATGTCAGGAGGTCAACTGTGCGTGTTTGCAAATACAAGCGTGTTTGCAAATACAAACAGCAGCAGATGCCAGTGTGGCATTGGGCCAATCTGTCAATGTCCCATAACCCTCAGGGCATGCAAGGGCTCAAGCACTGCCTACCCACCCAACCACACTCAAGAATACTGGGCAGATAGCATAAGGACTGTTCTAGAAATTAGTAACCCAAATATGTTCCTGGACATGTTTCAGAATGTTGTTCATATTCTGATGTGCAATTCACCTCTCTGCCACATGGACATAGTGTAGATTCCAGAGGTTTTATTAAAAATAAAAACTATCATTTATTGAGCACCTGAGGCTTTTCCTATTATGCCAGGCCCACACCTTACTAAGTAATTAAGTGAGAAAAAGAGCTGATTGGATTGACATATCTTGTCTACCAGCTGAGAAGTACTCCTGGTTGTGTTCTGTGCTGCTCTGTCACTCCGTAAACCTAACCAGTTAACAACTCACATGTTACTCCAGGGCTGATCAAAAGGCAGAGAAGGAGTTTCCTGGAAAAAGCCTTTTTGTGTGTGGGGCTATCTGAAGAAAGAAAACTGCTCTGTGGTTCATTATTTTCTACTACTAAGAGACCTTAGCAAGAAGCCCTTCCCAGTTCTCAGATATTGCCTCTAAATCTCTCAGCAATTGGTGGTGGTGGACAAGGGTCAGGTGTCATTCTAAGACCAAAAGAAGAGAGAGAGTAATTCTCAATTTGGGGGTTATGGATGAAAGGGGGAGTGATGAAAATCTTAAGAGGGGTGGTGAGCTGGATCGGTTAGAGAAGCCTTAGAGCCAAGCTCATCTTCAGGCAGGATTAGAACTTCACCAAAGGCAGCTATTATTAGCTATTTGGACACTGTTTGCAAAAAATACTAGATAATGACCAATTAATTTTGCAAAAAACTTCCAGAAACAAAGAAAAACAAATCAACTGTGGCTTAAGTTTGTCACCACCACAATCATTTTCCAAAAACCAAAATAACAAACCCATTGCTGTTGCATCGAATCTGACTCATAGCGACCCTAAAGGACAGAGGAGAACTGCCCCATAAGGTTTCCAAGGAGTGGCTGATGGATTAGAACTGCTGACCTTTTGGTTAGCAGCCTGAGACCTTAACCACTTCACTATGAGGGATCCACAATCATTTTAGAGGTTTTAAAATAGTCCCAGTGTAGACACAGCTTAGCAGCTATAGGTTGGTCTTCGGATTTAAAACCCTGACCAGGGCCCATGAGCCATTTGTAATAGACACAGAGCAAGACTCTGTATTGGCCCTGCCCTACTAGGCATTGCACTGTTGCTGCCCAATAGGGCGGATGTCTCAGGCTGCAGGACTCAGGGTGAAGGCTGGGTAAGATGGGCACTCACCGCGCGGTACTTGACCAGGTAGTGTCTGATAGGGGAGCCGCCATCATCCTGCTTGATCAGGTTCACCTTAATAGAGTTTCCATCCTCTCCCATCTGCCCTTCAAGTTTAGGTGCACTGGGTTCTCCTGAAACAGCCAGTTAATTCATGTGAAATTTTTATCCACAGCATGGAAATCAAATCCATCAGAATGGGATGTAGTGATGGGTGGGGCTGGACTCTTTTCTTGCTTTCTCAGAAATTCAAATGGTTATTAAAAAGCAGTAAATATAAAACTTTGTATTCCAGTTAGATGCCTCAAACTTGGCTCAAACTGGGAATGCCCTTTGGGAATGTTCTGGAAAACACCCTCCCTATTAGAAAGTCTGTTTTTCTGTCTCTCTCACTGGTTCTTGCATTCCCTTTTTAGCTGATCTTAAAACTGTAGCTTTAACTTTCATAAGCCTGATACATTTTGAGGAACAGCCTGAAGTATGGGAAAATGTAAACGTTTGAGTAGGAAACCTACACCCATAAAATAATTTTTCAAAGCAGACCAGTTTCTTCCCAGGATATATGACTCACCCCAGGGTGGGGAAGGGGGTGCTGCCTCCTTGGGACTCGCTTTTCATGAACTACATTTTATGAATTAGATTCATTAAACTAAAAAAAAATAATAATAATAGTTCCCAGTTGCGATTAAACAAAGCACAATTTGCCTGTGAGTATCCTGTTTTCATGGCCCTACTGACTGAGTGATAATCCTTGACACTTTGTATTAAAGTAACAGTCGTGGAAGTCTTTTTCTTGGAGAGAGGAGAGAGGAAAAAAAAAGTCTTTAGCATTTATCAGCAGAAAAAAGGTCGATGTTTCTCTTTATTTGCAGAATATGCTCAGCTTGTAGCACTGTGAATCCAAGATCAAGAAGACGAGCTTGTATGGGACAAAACCCAGGGCTGGGCTGACTCTTCAGAGTGAGACGCTGATTTACTTTGAGAGAAGCTACTTCATTAGTGTCTACCAAAAGCGATGGGTGAGAGAACATCTGATATCCAACCTTAAAATTAAGATTAACACCCTGGGAATCCTGCCCCTCCTGTGATGAGCCCTCTGTATCTATTTCAGGACATCATAGAAAACTTGCTTACTGTTAGTTGCTGTTGAGTCAATTCTGGCTCACGATGACCCTATGTGTTACAGAGTAAAACTGCCCCACAGGGTCCTCTTGGCTGTAATCTTAACAGAAGCAGACCACCAGGCCTTCTCTTCCACGGTGCTGCTGGGTGCGTTTGAACTGCCAACCGTCAGATTAGCAGCTGCGTGCAAACTATTTGCGTTACCCAGGGACCTTCAGAAAACTTGGCAGAGGCCACAAAACCAGTTACCTTCTGGGTGACCCCCCTGGCTTGCTCTCTCCAAGAGGGAATCACAGATCTGTGACAGAGGGGCTTGTCACCAGGCCTGGGACCTAATCCTCCTAAAAGTGCACCTTTGGCCATTGATAAGAAGACTTCTGGCAATATCAGAGTCTAGCCCACCCTCCTCATTCAACCACTTTGGGAACCTCGATGTGGCCCGAGTGCCCTGCTTCTCCCTTTGATACAGGGTGGAACCAGAAAGAAATCTCACAAAGACCCCTGCTACTCAGATCCGGCCAGCAGAATGCACATCACCTGGGAGCTTCTTAGAGCCGCAGATCCGCATTTTAACAAGATCCCCAGGTGACCTGTGTGCACATTAAGTTTCAGAAGCTGTAGTAACGGGGGCACATAAACGCTGCAACAGGGAGGACACATATCTTGAATCTGAGGGGTGAGATATTTAGGGCAGTCGTGCTTGCTCTTTGTTTTCTTAAATCAGTAACTCGAACAAAAATGCAAACACATAAAAAGACAAATGGGCTTGCAGGCAAAGACTTGTTTAAGTCCTATCTAGCGACTGGCCCCAACTATTCAGTAGAAACCATTTAAAATTTGGTTTAGATAATGTTAAGGTATGCAGGTGTTTCAAATTCTTTTGGACCATTCTAAGTCTTAGATGATAACTCAGTTACGTCTCTATCATTATAAATATGCAGTGCTAAAAAGAAACTCAAACGCGTTAAGGAGAACGTTTTAGAATAGGGCAAGTGTGTGTAGACTCAGCAGTGCTGGGCAAATGGGAGTAGGAGGCACAGCAGAACTTTAGAAATTCTATTCTTTGAATGAATTAGGGTGATCAACTCATACTGGTTTGCCTGGGGTTTTCCAGGTTTTAGCGCTGAAAGTCCACATCCCAGGAAACCCTTAGTCCCAGGCAAACCAGAAAGTTTAGTCACCCTGGACTGACTGGGAATGGACATTAATCATTGTAACTTTCTGCACTCACAGTCACAACACTGGCTCTGTGATGAACGGTCTATTTGCTCTAAGAAGGAGATAATTTCATCAAATGGCATCAGTGGCTCTTCTAACACACCCGCCAAGGTGAGGACCAGCCCTTCCCCCAAGACCTCCTTGGAAGGTAGATAGAGATCAGTCCACTGGGGCTGTTCTGGCTGCATGTTCCTTAGTACTTCTTCTTGGAATTGCGAGTTCCCAAGGCTGAATCAACACCACAAAACACTCTCTCTGAACTCTGCTCTTTGTGGAATATGTATTTAGAAGTTCTCCCTGACGTTTGTGAAGATCTCTTTAACACTGAATGCTAAAGATGCTACAGTAGAGCACAGGCTGTCTGCTGCCTCGGATAGGCCACTGCCTCAGTCTCCACATTTGCAAAATACTTGACTAGATGCTCTAGACTCTTAGCTCTGACAGCACTGGGACCCAATGACAGCCACTGACCTTAGGAGGGACTACCAAGGATACCTTTGTTACTTCTTGTGATATTTGTGGAAGACAGAACACAAATAAAATATGTGACGTTCACTTAATTTTAGGGAGATGCACCCCAAGATCAACAATCTGTTATCTCTAAGGCCCAAAGTTTTCAGAGAAACTTACAGTTTTTAAAAAGTTGTCTTAAAAAAGTCCTATCTTCAAAAAGAGATTCCAAGTCTCTTCGAAGATATTATAAACTAAATTGCTCCAAGGAACCAATACCTCTGATGAATGTACTCTCTTATCCTTGGATTTGTTTCAGAAAAATATAACTGGAATCATAGAAAAACCACTAATACTACATCATACTTACAACACTTAACATGTTATCATTTTACCTGAGCAACTACTATGTTCCTCTGACATATATGTATTGTTTCATAGAATTTAGATAATTTTATATCACATAATGTTCAGGTATATAATTTAGAATGCTTTAAATATGGTTTACTCAGCAAATGCATATTAAGTACCTACTAGGTCCATCCATTTGTCGGATTTTTTTTAATTTAGAAAATATAATCATAGAAATAATAACAGCTAAGATTTACTGATGTGTTCATCCTGTGATGATGAGTCATAACTGTGACGAGTCTGAAACCAAAAAACCAAACCCACTGCTGTCAAGTCGATTCCGACTCACAGCAACCCTATAGACAGAGTAGAACTGCCCCATAGGGCTTCCAAAGAGTGGCTGGTGGATTTGAACTGTCGACCTTTTTGGTTAGCTACCAAATTCTTAACCACTGCGCCATCAGGGCTCCACCTGGTAGGTAGTAGTAGTTTATTAGACACTGAAGTTTTAAAAGTGAATAAGACATGTTTTTTTTTTTTTTTTCCTAAAAGAAATAACATACTTATGATAAATTCTTTTAAAAAATGATGGAGCCCTTGGTCAGAAATATAATCCCTCTTTTGATAGTATTCCTAAAGGAAGATCATATTCAACTAACAGCGTACAGATTTTGACCACCTTTGCTGGAAGTACATTAAGATGTGGAAAGAGCAGTATTTGTTTAATCAATTGCCTTATTCATCTTCAAATGTTTACTCTTGCCTTTTTTTTTTTTTTTTTTTTTAAAGATTAGGAACTGGGCTAAAGAAACTATTTCCTAAGATCTCTGTGCAAAGGAGGCTTCAGCCATGCCTCACAGGGAGGGGCTGCTGCAGAGAATTGGGCCTTGGCATTCAGGAGGCTCACTGCTTTATTGAACACATTAGCAGAGGAAATTATTTAGCAGGTCCCAGTGTGCATTCTGTTCTGAGATGGCTGCTCTGATTGAAATTATTATGGGTAATTTCAGAAAAACCAATATTGTAATTATTTGTAAATGTTGGTTTGCAATTCGGCAGCAATCAGCAGGTTGCTCGAAGAAAACCCCTGGGGTTAATTATACCCTCTGAATTTAGCTTCAGCCGTGAGACGAAATTTTCCCCCAAAATATTTTACATAAAGACTAAAACAGCAGTACCTTAAAATAAGCTTTGCCAATAACATACATGAAATACTAGACAGTTCTGGTATTTTCTGGCAGAATACAAATCATGTACGCAAGGAAAAAAAAGACTATGAGGCCACATATGGTCAGAATATATTACAGGCATGTCCTATGAAATTCCTCAATAAACCGTAATTGAAATGTATATTTCTGGCCATGTAGATTGTAGGTTCCTCCTTTGTAATTACTAAGCTACAGTGCCCTTAAGTCTGAGTTGGCCTCATACCCCTCCCTTCTGTCAACAGAAGCCCTGGCATGAGAAATGGCTGCTAGGTATCTGAATCCCACAACAAAGATTATAGCAAGTCCAGGGCATTTGGACAGCATTTGTGAGTTCTAGAAGGAAAACAATATTCTATCTCTCACTCAAAAAATCCCAAGCACCAAGAGTTATAGCTTCTGAATGAAGTGCTGAGGTGCCAGGCGGCAGGCATCCTTGTGGAAGGCTGGACTCATTTCTCTGCTCATCCACTTTGCTTTCTCTCCTGTGGGGGTCCTCACAGAATTTTGGGGGTCTGAGTATAAACCAGTGATGGAGGTAGGGCCTTCATTAACATCTGTTCTTGCTTTTACTATCAAATAGGATTCTGTGGCACCAAAAATACTGTTGGCTTTGCTTATCCAAACTCCTGTCATCTTTTGTTGATTATTTCTTACAAGCAATTTGAAACATGTATACCTTTTTATTATTTGTTTAAAAAGCCCAGAGGGTAGGATTTAGCTATTCAAGTACGAAGTCTATTCAATTTTTCCAACTCAAGAACATTTACAATTACATCAAGAGGTTAGAAGTTTGACTGGTCTCTAGAGAATCAGGATTTAAAGTTATTAGACCACTAATTCTCTTTCCTGAAGCTGAGCTCTGAGCCCTAGATGTCAAACAAACAAAAACAAGCAATCAGATCTAAAATGATGTACGCTGTATACATTCTTGGCCCTTCATAGTTCTTCTGGATGCTTCTTTGGCAACCTACCTTGCTATTCTAGGGATGCTGAGGTGGCTTTTTAACAATCAAAAAGAGCAGCCTGTCGATGCAAAGATGGGCCTCAAGTTGTCTTAAGCATTGCTTTCCCAACTCAGGCCTTTGGAGTGGCTTTCTCTTTTTCTCCTGAGCTGTTTTCTTTCGGATGTTAAGGATTTGCTTGTGTCTGAGCTACGTGACTTCTTGCCGTCCCAGTCCGTGGCTGCACAGAATGCTGGGGTACAAAACTAGTGACTGTGAACATGACCAGTCCCCTAGCTTCTACAAAGAATGCTTAGCTTTCTGTGGCCAAGACCACCATGGCATGTAGTCCACAAATCCTTCTCAGCACCAATTTTCTCAGGAATTATGAATGTGAGCATGTGTGTTGGAGCGGGGAGGGGGCAAATGGCAGCACAGAGTACAAATTAAACAGCAACAAATGAACTCTGACAGACTGAACCACAAAAATACCAATTTCCTTCTCCTGGGTGTCGTGAAAACACCAACAGATTAATTGACCAATTATCTTTGTTTCATCATCCTCAAAAGAAAATATGACCACGAAGGTATGGCTTGTGGTTATGGGGCTGATCCAAGCTGAGGAAGTTATGACAGAAATAACTGCTATCACCAACAAGTAACTCAGCTCCTGCCTCCAAGGCCACAAGAGGGATTGGTGTGCATCTTGGACACCATTTCATGGATGTTGGATTCGTTATTAAGAAGTATGAGGCTCCGGGGATGTTTTGGCCCTTATACTGGTAACCCCCAGGGAAACTGGCAGATTCCATAGCCAGCGGGGACCCTGGGGTCCGTGCCCATAGGATTCGGGCTGATACGCACCACTCCCTTCCTCTTCATTCCCTTCATGCTAACTGTCTAACCTGGTAACCACCAGTGCAAGCAATCATTAGAAATAAAGGCAATTAGCGCATCGACCCTGGTGAAAAGTATGTTGACCTGCCAGAGCCCGTTGCAATCCAGACACACAGCTGTAAAAAATAAAGGAGGGAGTGGAAGGGGTGGTTAGTGATGTTTTCAATCTAAGGAGGAAGAGTGGGTGTTAAAGAGTTTAGTTCATCAGAATCAGCATTTCCTAGTACGAGTCAGTGTCAGTAGCTAAAGAAAAAAGATCATTATGAATGGATGGGGAGGATCCATGCTCAGACATGCAGCACGTGTACTGAAGGGGTGCTGGGGGCGGTCTCATTACACACATACTGGTGGGCAAGGTAGCGGGGGAGTCCCATTTACACAGAGTCCTCAGGAGCTGATGGACAAAACCATGGCATTCTGGAGTCATTGGAGGAACCAGGTCTTGTAGCTACACAATGCCCTACCCACTGCCATGAAGTCGATTCTGACTCACAGTGACCCTATAGGGCAGAGCAGAACTGCCCCATAGGGTTTCCAAGGCTGTCATCTTTACAGAAGAGGACTATCACGTCTTCTTCCCGCGAACAGCTGGCGGGTTCCAACTGCCGATCTTTCAGTTAGCAGCCGAGTGCTTTAACCACTGTGCCTCCACGGCTCCTTTACACAATGCCATGATATGAGAAATACTTTTACATTGGGTGCGTCTTTAGCTCACTTTAGCAAGCCCATCCCTGCCATCCTGTGACAGGTGCCTAGGCTAACCGAGCATGAACCTTATGACGTCTACAGCTCAGTACGCTCAGGAAGTAAGCAACCATCGGGGCTGGGCTCAGTGCTGTGTTAACCTTCCTTCTTCTGAGTTGCCTTAGTTCACTCAGAGTTGCTGGGCTCACTGCTGAGCTGAACCTAAGGTGGGCAGAACGTCTAGCATGTGTTAAGTGCATCCCAGGCAATTTTTTTTCCGAGGAGGAGTGATATAGTGAATACTGGATTTCATCAGTTTTTGGGTGTATAACCCACTGCTGGCAGGAGAAAGGCTCCCAGCTCACTTAAACCTTCTTAATTTAGGACCAACAACAACCAGTTGCTGTCAAGTCAACTCTGACTCATGGGACCCCACATATGTCAGAGTAGAACTGTGTTCAATCGGGCTTTCAATGGCTGAGTTTTTGGAAGGAGACCACCAGGCCTTTCTTCTGAGGTTCCTCTGGTTGGACTTGAACCTCCAACCTTTCCGTTAGCAGCTGAAAGAGTGTTAGTTAACCGTTTGCACCACCCAGGCAACTCACTTTAAATCCTTCCTAATGCTCAGAGAAAGGAAGCGATAACTGTCGTTAACTAAACTTTACTTCTCTCTCCCATAAACTGTATTTGCTCTGACCTCTTCATTCCCTTAAATTCATTATTAAAGGCCATTTCCTGCCGCTTGCTGTTCACCTGATAAACAAATCCTCTGTCTGCACCCTTGTGTATGGATGGAGAACGTCTGTGTCGGAAGGGAACGTGGTTTGATGAGCGATAATCGTGGCTTTGGAATGCTATAAGACCCTTAGTGACTTTTTTAGTACTGGTCACATTTTCTACTGACAGCCCAGACCACTACTACGCTGTTTGTCTAGGGGAACTGAAGGGAACATCCAAACATTTCTTGCCTTGATTAAAATTTATGGAAGAGATCTCTCTTCAGAGGCAGGAACAAGTTTCCACCTTGTTTTCTGTGTGCTTGGCTTTCTTCAGTATTATGGCATTGCCTAGAAATGACCAAGCTTGTTTTAAAAAAGAAACTAATGCGTTTCAATCCAGCATCTGCCCCACTTTATGAGGACGGACCTGGTCTTTCTCTACAACTACACCCAGTGAATAGTCACCCCAAGTTTGAGAGAAGTCTGGTCCTGCTGATGGCCAATCTTTGGGAATTATAGAAACCACAGTTTTCTTTATTTTGGGGAGTGGGGCTTGGCGTTTAGCACATCTTAGACTCCCAATTTTCTTTGCCCTAAGACTCACAGATGCAAATAACTTTTGAAAGGTAGGTCATATTTATTAGAGCAAACTGCATGAAATGTTCCTCTGCTTGGGGATATTCCCACTTTATGACATAAAATCTAAATAACAAACATTTCCTTTTTGGAAAATGAGGACAGTTCATATCCAAGTCCTTTCGCCAGGAGTCTGGTTGTAAATGGGACTGAATTGGGGCAAAGTCTCCACACCTACAAAGCTGAAGTCCTCAGCGATGGTAAAGGTGGAGTATGATCGAACGGGAACATACACAACGTTAACACACACAGGGAGCAGCAAACAAAAGGACAGAACGGGAACAAAGAACATGCAAGACAAGCTGTGGATGGTTTTGTTCGTGTGGATGTCGCCCAATCAGTTCTCAGAGAAGTGAGGTCAAACGGGGTACCTCCTGCATGCAGGGGCACACCGGGCAGTTATTGGTGTTAGTTTTGCTTTGGTGATCTATGCAGCCCATACGTGTCTCAGGTTGTGATTTGACGTAAAAAATTCCAGTTAGAAGAGAACGAGGTGGGCATGATCCCCGAGGCAAGTTTTGAATAGATGTTTGATTTTACTGGGGGAAGCCGTGAACAGAGGCTCCCTTTTCTCTTTATGGCAAGCAAGAAATGTTTAAACAAGGTTGTGACAGTCACAATACTAACTAATTATTTTGTTACTGCTCTGCGCTTAACTAGGCTATAATTTTATTTCTTTTGCTTCGAGGGTCAGTCACATGCTTCTTGATTACACGGAGCTCTCCAGTCCTGGTAACTGCTGAGTGACATTTGCTCTGGGTTGTTTATTCTCTTCCTGCCTGGGGGAGGGTCACTCTGGAAAAGTGATAGATACTTCAGCAAGCACAGCCAAATTGCTCTGATTCTTAAATCTCTTATTTCAGAAAGTCCTCCATTTGCATAGATTTTAGGAGACCCTCAACGAGATGGACTGACACAGTGGCTGCAACAAGGGGATCAAGCATAACAACGATTGTGAGGATGGTGCAGGAGCAGGCACTGTTTTGCTCCGTTGTACAGAGGGTCGCTATGAGTCAGAACCAATTCGACAGCACCTGACAGCAACAACAACTCATGAGTTTTGAACAAATACAATCTTTGCAATTGTGAAATTTCTCTCTGTGGCTTTTCCACGCTGTAAACAGATACATTATCATGTGAATGTGACTCATTTTAGAGCTATTACGGTTTTCAGAACTACTGGATAAAATTAAGTAACAGTGCTGTAAAGCTAATTTACAAAACTGCTCTCTGGGAAATAATTCTTATGACCTGTATGGTAAAAATCTGAGTTTGCAAACTGTGCTTCAGCTTAAGTGATCTTACTGTAGCTAGAAGTTTGTGTGACCAAATTTTTGGAAGTAAAATATTGAACCCAAACCATTCCTGGTATCAAATTGTCCTGCCCAGCCTGCAAGGATGATGAACCCTGGCTGTGAACTGAGGACAAGAGGAAATCCCTCAAGTGGCTTCACTTAGGAAGTCTGAGACAGGAAGAAATGAGTGGGCCAGAGATGCCAGGCTTGGTCCCAGATTTATTTCACTAATCAGAACAAAGAGTTTTACCTTCTGTTCACCAGCGTGGACGACATCATCAGCATCATGCAAGCCACATGACAAAGTCACATGATACGCACGCACATGATTGGTTGAAAGGAAAGTGGAGGAGGTCACATGGAAAATACAAAAAAATTAAAAACTGATGTAAACAATGGGCAGGGAGAAAAATCAACCACAAAATCACAGACTAAATAAAGGGACAAATCAAATTAAATTAGCAGCATATATAGGGGACATTGGGAGGGCAGTGAAACTGCCTGGAAATAGAAGAATCGTAAATCATAGAGAGCATTTGGTTAACAACACCAACAAGCGTTAGCTACAGCTGCAACACTGCATATTAATACCACATCAAGGAACAGGTAAACTTTTTTGTTTTTTTTTTAAATGGGGAGATGTTTTCTGCCGGGACCCAGATGTCAAAGGCAATCCAGGAGACTGTTAAAGGAAGACAAAAGAGCAAGTTAATGTTCACAAATTCCAGAAACGGCTCAGCATCCTTGGACACGAGAAATGAAACAGAGCACGGATCATCAAGGAAAAGTCCCATGATTTTTAAGGCGTAGACTGTGTCCCCTGTAAGAACAAAGGACCACATTAAGTTAAGAAAAGGCATTTTGTGTTTCCTTTGGCCTAATGAGAAGAGGGCATCGGGACTGAGTAAGGGTTGGTGGCCATAGGCCTGAGAGCACGGCCCCAAGGATCTTTTCTTACTTCTTTATCCCCCTACCCACGTTGTCCTTAACACCTTTGATGAGATTCCCCAAATTCAAGAACATATAAAGGAAGAGGCCAGTTCAGATACAGGAATAGGTTTCCTTCTGGATGTTGAGGCAATGGCTCTGTCCACACCGAACAGCAGAAACTGGACGCATGGACCAATGAGCTGAGAGTCTAACATTAAACACACACTTGGGCCTGCGGATAAAGTTATTTAACCTTTAGACTTGTGGCTGTACCAGTAAGACATGGATTTGAGATTTACGAAGAGAAAAACAGTTCTCCTTGTTCGGATCTATCCAAACGTTCCTTTTTGTCCTACGCTGGATCTATATTCCAATGTGTTACTGAATGATATCTTTCTGCCCAAAGTACACCACTGTTTAAAAATAATTCAAGAGAAATGCTTTAACCAAGTAACATATTCCCTGGACACTGGGAGCTGACAGAATGTGTGCTTTCTACTGTGTGACATTATACAGGTACTGGCTTTGCCCTACCAAGAGGGCCCTGCAGGGATTATATAAAATCGAGCATTCTCCTTTGTTTTGAATTAGGATACTTTTATTCCTTCATCATCAGAAATTGACCAAAAAAAAAAAAAAAAAAAAAAAACCACACATGATGGCCAAAAACAGGAGATACTATTTCTTTTCAACCCTATTGATCAATGGGTTTTCATATGCTCATAGTTACTCTGCTATTAGTTCAACTGCAGTTCATATGTCCTAGAGTTTGCCTGACTGTTGAGGACTGTGAGCATGTTAAATGCAAGCTGCTGCCCAATTGTGGCCGTCTTTTCTTTATCCCAGCATCCACCGGGACCTACAATTTGGGTCAATAGTCAAATGGCTCCAAATTAAAAAAAAAAAAAAAAAAAGAAGTCTCAAACTTTCTTCCCTTTGGATGCCACAACGAGGCATTTTATCTGTGGGAAGAAATGCTTAATTTTTAAAAGTAAAAGACACTTCAGGGGAAGAAATACCTAATTCCTCCTTAAGGAAAAATCTGGATCTAGGTTAGTGTTTCACTTCCAAAGGAGACACAGCATATGAATCAAGTGGTGCGAATGCATCCCTTAGCCTGCTCCTACTGTGCCTGGCACACACACAGCACCCACGCGGGTGCAGGACAGGAGAAACACTGCTTGTTATAAGAAAAAAGGGCTCTGTTAGTTGCAATCCTTTTCCAAATGAAACAGAAAAAAAAAAAAAAAGCCATCCTCAGAATTAAACCCATGCGAGCACACACACTCGTTGTCACCAGCTCTGCTGACAAAATGAAACCTCAAAGGCATCAGGAATTAAAATTCATTGCAGCACACGCACCGAGAGAACACCAAGAAAGCAGAGCCGGCGCTATAGTCTGCAGCCGAGAAAGGAACCATTGCATGCAACACACAGAACCAGGAAACTCTTTTCTTCTTTGTTCAGTTCTGAGTCAGAAACCTTGGTCCAGGGAAGGAGAGCTGTACTTTGCATACCTGCTATCTGCCTTCTAGCTCTGGCTACTGCCTAACGGGATGCGTGCCATGTTTTCTATGCACCCAGAAATAGTATAAAATCTAAATCGCCCACATAGTTTGGTAATTAAACACTGTAAGCACACATACACACACACACAGAGTTGACTTGTCAGGGAATTTAAGTCCTCAGCATACAAGCTTACTTCACAAGTACCAGCTTGGAGCATGTTAAGGTTGCGATTAAGTGTAATGTTTGGATGGAAAAGACAGTACAGTTGGTGGTCCTGACTCTGTCTTCAGAGGGGAAATCTAGCACTTTCATTGGACTCTCAGGCAGCGCCGACTCCAGAGAGCCTGGGCTCGGCTTCTTCTGCTCACGGCTTTTGTAGCACTGAGGCGGAGGCCTGAGGAGACAGAGGTGCCTGTCCTTCCCATACGTGCTCTGTGTACAGACCACCTCCACACGGCGAGACAAAGCAGAGTACGCAGCCGGGAAGCAGGACTCCTTCCTTCTTTGCACACCCTTCTACCTTCCCTTAAGCAGCTGTATTCTCCTATCCCTTCCCTTCTTCTCTGTCTTGTAGCTATTTCTTTATTAGTCTCTGTGCATTTGTGTGTGTGTGTATATGTGTGTGTGTGTGTTTTAGAGAGGACAGACAGCCAAACCCAGGAAGGCGATGCTGTTCCTTTTTCTCCCCAGTGTTTCCCTAATCCTTTTCTATTTTTAACTGGAGAGTAAATTGGAAAGGCCTCCTTATGCACAGTCTTCTTCAAATAATCACCCCAGCTCTTTTGGTAATGCCTGGTTTGCTCTCTTGGCAAAGGAGACGGCATGCTTAGGAAACCACACCAGGCCAGAAACCTTCATGCATTTTAACGAAAGGGAGGAAGAACCACGGGCATCTCTGTGACCCAGAAGCCAGCTCTGCAACAAGCAGCAGTCAGAATTCTGGCCCTCAGCTCCGTACTCACTAGATACTTCTGTGGTTGTCAGGGCAAGAAGAGGCCAGGTTGCTATGGAAACATGAAGGACAGAAAGGGCACAGAGAGGTGAAGGAGAGTAGAGATAAATTCAAATATGTGTTTTTCTAAGGCATTGTTATAAAGACAAGACAGAGATGGTGAAGGAGATATTCTCTCACTCCTTTCTTCCCTGATTTATCATTATTCAAATATATATTTTAAAGAGATTTTGCTGACAAATTACTCTCACACAGCAAGAAATAACATAACCCTCATTTCTTGTTACTATTAATTAGAGTGACTATATGCTGGTGGTGTAGTGGTTAAGAGCTCGGCTGCTAACCAAAAGGTCGGCAGTTCAAATCCACCGGCCGCTCTTAGAAACTCTCTGCGGCAGTTCTACTCTGTCCTGTAGGGTCGCTATGAGTCAGAACCGACTCGACAGCACCTAACAACTACAACATGCTGGGAACTGTATTGGATGTTTTTTATATTTAATCTTTAATTTTCACAAACACCTCTAAGGTGGGTGGAATTTATCCTTCATTTTAGATGTGAAGTTTGAGATTTGGGGAGGTCGAGTGGCTGATACAAGGTCATGGACCTCTAAGTAAAAGTAGCAGAGCTAGGATTTGAACCCAGATCTGTTAGTTTCCAAAGCCTGAACTCTTTCCGCTAGGGTAGGCTGCCTTGGAAGATCATAGGGCAGGTGGGGTGGTGGTGGTGATGTTTCTGAGTCAAATAGATGGCAATGGAGGGCTTTGGAGCTTGGGGCTCAAGTCAGCCCCTGGGGCCAAGCCCAAATGGCAGAGCCTTCTGATATAACAAGGAGGATAAAGCCAGCCTGGAGGTGCCACCCCTTAATCCGCTTGCTGCTCTCTGTAGCTCCAAGAGATGGTGGCGTTATAGCTTGCACCTTACTCAGCCGCTGTCTCACTTTGCTTCCTTCCACGGAAATCTGGGTTCAAAACTCTGAATAGGACAGGCTTGTAGTTCTTACTCCTGAGGACTCATGGGAACAAAAGGACAGGGCAGCAAAAAAAAAAAAAAAAAAGATCAGAAATGATGAGGCTCAGCCAGGATGACAAGGCCTAAGACCAGCCACCTGGTATTATGGTCAGCTCAGCGGCATTGGTCCAGGATGGGCAAAGCAGAGCTTGCTAAGCCTATTCTTTGCCATCCTCAGCAAAATTTTTTTTCTTTGTTTCTTTTTTTGGGGAGGGAAGAGACTACTCATCCTAATTTTAGAGAAGAGAAAAACGAAGCTCCCTTGTAAAGGGTTAAATAATTTGTCCTAAGTGCCTACTGCCAGGCACATCTGTAAGCAAACACTGTTTATTTTCCCATACATATTCATGAGCAATGTATACATTTATGCATAAAGCAAAAGCTATAGGTTTCACTATCTAATTTCCATGTCTGACTCCAACTGTGCCAATTAAAGTGATGGGTAAAACCCAACACTCCAAAACATTTCTTATGATCCCGCAGAACAGATATTTTTCTTGGCAAACTCCTTTGGCTTCTCCAAATATCAGTTTTGGCCCAACCCAAAGTACAGGCTCGGCTTCGGCTTCAGTGGCCTCAGGGAGCCTGCCTGCAGGGTTTTCTAATGGAGCAATGCTTCTCAGTTCTCTCTCCTTCCGGGAGTGCTTGCCTCCCCTGAAGGCAAGAGGCCCTATGCCTGTTCCTCTTCTCTAAAATCCAGCGCTGCTTTCAGCCAGACAGAGTTTAACCATCACCTGGCAGAGGAGATAGCATTAGGCCGATTGCATTGTGGCTGGTAGAAGGCAACCTGCAGAGAGATGGATGGGGAGAATGATACTCACTATCTGGAGGAGACAATGGAACAGGGGTAGGA